TGGCTGTCCTGCACATGCCCTGTGAGCACTCCTGTGAGGAAAAAGGCCTCTCCAAATGAGCATGCGCCTGCTGCAGCCTCCCCCCAGCAGGTTCCTCCCCCTTGGCAGAGGCTGTGCTGGCTGAGTGTTCTCTGCACGCAGAGGCAGCTGCCAGCATCGCTTTCATCTCAAAGCAGGGAGACACTCAGCCATTAGAGCAGGCAGGTAGGCAGTGCACACCTGGCCGCTGCAGAGCCAGTTCTGAGGAACTCTTGAGCTTCCACTCTCCTACAAGAGCTCTCACATCAAAGTTCCCCTTCCTCCTCCTCCTCCATCACCAGCCCCGCAGGTGCCAGGCAGAGCCTCTCTTCCCATCCCTGCATCTCTAAATTTGCCTGGTTGCTGGGCACGTCTATTCTAGGCAAAGGCAGACGAGATGAGGGAAGCGAAGCGCACGCATCAGTCGCGTCGTGAACAACATCGGTGCCAAGTTCTTCTCCACTATAGCCAGTTCAGACAGAGAATGTGTCTCATGTGGTACTCCAAGCCAAGAAACACAACTTGTGAAAGGAATCGGAAAAAAGTTCTTTCCGTATAAAACATCCAGGCAATTCTCAATTATCTGGGGACACAGGAACAAGCAGAAATAGCCATTATTATCAGAAGAAACTACGTAACACAAAATGTGCGTCAACAAAGTGATCAAATCGTAAGAGCAAGGTCAGGACAGAAAAGAAATACCATTTTGGGACACCAAGAACCCCAAGCTGGCCTAAGCTGAGAACTGACATGGTACAGCAAAGCAAACTAGTTGCCCTGGTCCCAAAGCAAGTCCTGCTAGCCCTGAGCAGGTCTGGGAGAGCCTGCAAATGCTTTCCAGCTTTGGGCAGCAGCATCTGCGATACAGCTAATCCTCAGTTAGCCTGGGAGGATTGAGAGCTGACAGCAGGGCTTGTCTCCACAGTGGGGAAGGGAGGGAGGATGCTGTGCATATGCTACCAACTCCCCCAGCAAAGCAAGGAGTGAAGGCACCAGGGATGGGAACAAATTGGTCGGTTTTCACACACGTAAAAATCGTAGCCATCATCTGGACTGGGTTCCCAAAGCGGGTAATGAGGGCAGTAACCCGGAAGAGC